AGCTTTTTCCCAACACCAAATCGTTTTTTTAACACCTCGACACGTATTTCGATCACCAAGTGATCCTCTTCAAAGAGGAAGATTAAAACTAGAAACTAATGCGAGCTAACCCTATTTATGCTATATAGGTATCCCATACAGGTAAACCATCCTGGCGTTTTTTACAATTGTAAAATAATAGATAAGGCAAAATTGTAAAATTAATTTAGGTTGGTATACCAGTATGGGTGGTACGCCTGGATGGTTTACCTGTATGGGATACCTATTAGCATAAATAGGGTTAGTTCGCATTAGTTTCTAGTTTTAATCTTATTCTTTGAAGATGATCACTTGGTGATCGAAACACGTGTCAAGGTGTTGAAAATAACGATTTGACGTTGGAAAAAAACTCCATTAATATTCATTACTACACCAAAGGTTTCAAACACTGCATCATAAATATATATGCTTATATGAACTTTATTTCATAAAATCAAATTTTTTTAGCAGCAATTAGAAAACACTATACAGTGCATTCCTTTTAATGTCCCACTCCGTTTTATTTTTTGAACTAGTCAACTTAAAAATTGAAATTTCGGATAATGGAATGAATGCATGAATATTTTATTTTGAAGTGAAATTGACACATGAAACCTTCAAGATGGCGACTGGGATCCATCTGGGAAAAAAATAAAACGAAAAGGGGGGTCTTGTGATACACCATTTTGAAGCTCCTGACGAATACTTCAGAACCGTAGAACATTAAGTCAATATCTTCACCTAGTACAAAATGGCGGAACATTAAATAATTTTCTGAAGACAAATACATACATCAATATCGATATTTCTAGAAATTTTCCATTTTATCTGCCATATGGCAATGTCAACAACCTGATAAGGTTTGTTAAGTTATTTTTTGTCTATAAAAATGACAAAAATGTCAGTACGACAATGAAAATCATTGTTCAGTTAGAATATTTTCAATTAGTTTTCGGTTTTATTGGTAGAAAGGTACTACGTCAACAATCTCTAAAATGGTCAATTCTCGTCCATTGGACGAGAAAATTGAAGCAATTTCTATTTACGATGCGATGCGTAATTCTCACGAGACCGAAAGGATTTTCAATGAACGTTTTCCGAATCGTTCTATCTGTAGAAAATATTTGAGGGAACTTGTATCCAAATTTACAACCACCAGTAGTGTACATAACAAAAAGCCCCCAGGTCATCTGTCCATTCCGGAAGAACAGCAAGTGCAAATAATTGGTGATATAGTGATAAATCCTGAACAGTCCACTTATTGATATTTCATTCTAGGGTTGTGGAGCATTTGTCAGGAACTTCAATAAAAATGCGTCACAAGAGCCCCCTTTCCATTTATTTTTTTTTTCCCAGATGGCACCCAGTCGCCATCTTGGAATTTTCATTTGTCAATTTCACTTCAAAATAAAGTATTCATCCATTGATTTCATTATTCCAAATTTCAATTTTTTGAGTTGACTCGTTCAAAAATAAAAGGAGGGGGGCATTAAATGAATACACTGTAGAAGCAGACACATTATTCGATGTTTCCTGGTTAACTGTGGTCTGTAGGTTTTTATATCCGAGGTTTCGTCTGCTACTGCGGCAGACATTATCAAAGGCGATGCGGCAACGGTCGAAGTGATCTAGTTTGCTGCAATGCACATACTGAACATGATCCATCACCTTTGATAATGTTTGCCGCAATAGCAGACAAAACGTCAGGCATAAAAACCTGCAGACCTCGGCTAATGAATTTGGAAACATCGGAAAGTTTGTAAGAGACCGGCCGTGAAAGCTTATATATCATGATTTTAAGTAGAATCTTCAGCAGTGAATGAAAATAAATCAATGAACACATCATAGATTGATCGAAAATGGATTCGAGTGCTCAAAAACACTTGAACTGTTGACACTAGCATAAGATGTACTCAAGTCAGGAAAATGTTTAGAAGTGGTACAAATTTCTCACAGAAGGTCAAGAAGATGTGAATGACACCGCTCGCACTGGATACCGAGAAAGTGAAGAAAATTGTTGTGGAGAATCGTCAAATCACTATTTAAGAAGTTGCTGTGGATGTCGGCATAACGTTTGACTCATGCGATGAAATTTTGGGCATGGAGCATGTGGTAGCAAAATTTGTTCCAAAATTGCTGAATTTTGACCAAAACAAACAACGTCGCATGAACATTGCTCAGGAGTTATTGAATCACGTCATCGGTGATACGAATTTACTTAAAAGGGTCATAACTGGTGACGGATCATAGGTATATGTTTATGACATCGAAAATAATGAGTGATTTTTTTGCTGGTATCTTTTTGGCAACACTGTGATTACGCGTGATTCGTGTCTTGTGTCATTGTCAAACTTGTTCAGTTTGGTCTATAATTTAACCATCAATCGACTTACGAATGAAAAACGCTTGCAAATTATTGAATTTCATTATCAAAATTCATGCTCTTTGAAGAAAGTGCATCGTGCACTCCTTCCAATTAATGGTCTACTGAGGAAGCTATTCGGAAGCTTGTGACTGAATTTCAAACCCAGTTTACATTATTGGACATTAAACCACTAACACGCATACGTAGAGTGAGGACCGAATAACATATTGCGGCTGTATCCGCCAGTGTTCGTGATGACCGTGAAATGTCGATTCGCCACCGTACTACGTGGACAATTTTGCGAAAGGATTTGGGTGTAAAACCTTATGAGATACAGCTGGTGCAAGAATTGAAGCCAAACGACCTCCCACAACGTCTAACATTTGGTGAATGGGCTCTTGCAAAGTTGGAGGAAGATCCACATTTTTATCATAAAATTGTGTTCAGCGACGAGGCTCATTTCTGGTTGGATGGATACGTTAACAAGCAAAATTGCCGCATCTGGAGTGAAGACCAGCCACAAGCATTGCAAGAGCTACCAATGCATCACGAAAAAGTCACTGGTTGGTGTGAATTATGGGTCGGTGACATCATCGGGCCGTACTTCAAAGGCGACAGTAGCCCGAACGTCACTGTGAATGGCGAGCGCTACCGTGTGATGATTGACGACTTTTTGTTGCCCAAAATGGAAGAATTGGACATGCCTACCATGTGGTTTCAACAAGACGGTGCCACATGCCACACGGCACGCGAAATAATGGCCCAATTGAGAGCCGCCTTCGTTGAACAGTTCATCTCACGTTTGGGGCCCGTCAATTAGCTACCTAGATCGTGTGATTTAACGCCTTTGGATTATTTCTTGTGGGATCATGTCAAGGCTCATGTCTACAGGGATAAACCAGCAACGATTGACGCTCTGGAAGCCAATATTGAAGCATTGATACGTGAAATACCGGTCGAAATGTTAGAGAGGTTATGCCAAAATTGGACCTTGCGCATGGGCCATCTAAAGCGGAGCCACGGACAACATTTGCATGAAATCATGTTTAAACGTCAAATTATATTGATCGTTCTATCGATTCTAATAAAGATTTCATCAATTTTTTAAAAATTTTTGTGTTGTTTTAAAAATAAAATCCTATACCTCTTGAAAAATCACCCGTTAAAGTCCAATCGTCCCAATGAAAGAGCTCAGGAGAGCCAAGATCAAAAAAGCACGCCAAGTTCGAATAAACGTCGAAGATTTGCTCACTGTTACCTTCGATTATCGTGGCATAGTGCATCAGGAATTTTTTCCACAACATCGTACGGTCAATGAGGAGTAGTATCTTGAAGTCATGCCCCGCTTGCGGAAAGCAATACGAGTAAAAGATCAGGTATTAGGAAAAAACAATTCACAGCTTTTACATCACGATAATGCACCTGCTCACTCGTCATGGCTTTTCCGTAGTTTTTTGGGCAAAAACAACTCCGTTTTCACCAGAATTGGCCTCCTGGGACTTTTTCATTGCCCAGATTGAAGAGACCCATGAAAGGACAGTGTTTTGTGACGATTCAGGAGATAAAAATCAAATCGCTAAGAGAACTTAAAGTACGTATTAGAGCTGCTTCAGAAAACAATATCCTTGGGAACTTCTAGGACTGTTCATAGGAGAGCAGATGGTTGATAGTGAATTTTTTAACAATCTTACGTTCACTGGAATACCGAAAATATTCTTTAGAGTCCACTAGATACTCGTTAGGACAATAAAAGGATTGCTTCGAGTTCTTGGGATTCTTGTTAATACTCTTCGTGAGCAAAAAAATAGCAGAATCAATACTGCTGATCTCTCTGGATTGAATGATTCCGTACAGTCTATCTCGTCTTGTGTTTGTGAATCTTTTGCTGAAAAAATCCTCTCTTGTTTACTTTGTTGTAAGTGTTCAAGAGGTAGCAGAACGAATGTTATTTTCTGAAACTTCAACTAGCGTTTTCTAATATAAGTGATAACCAGTCCCTACAAAGTTCATTGAATCATCTGAAAATGGAACTTTTAACGGGTTATGATCAACTGTATTACCAAACATGCGCCAAACTGACTGACTATTATAAGAAAACAAGTATAGCTGAGGCACCCGTCAACCTAATAATAACACTGATGATCTTCAAACATGACTCAACCTCTGATGGAAGCACTAAACTCTTACGAAGGTTCGAAATAGATGAACACTTCAATCTAGCAGACCAGTATTATAATCGTCATCCAGTCATTGTTCACTGTGGTTCTGGCGTTGAATCTGGCCATTATTACGTATTGGTCAAAGACGATACAGACTGGTTTAAATTTGACGATAGTCGTGTCACTTAGTGTTCTGGCGATGTCTTGAATTTATTGGAGCCTCTGGAGGTACCCTACATTTTGTTTTACGAAAGAGGGGATATTGGCAAATCAAGATCTGCAGGTTTTCCCGGGTTTTCCTGCAGCTGAAAAATCAAATGCGCCACTGGAATCAATGAGGTCGCCCCGGAGCGCCGATCAATTTTTGTTGTTTCATAATTTCATGATTTATAATAGGCTATACAAGAAAAATGCATAATGAAAATCACTGGAATTAGAATGAATTTCAAAGTACTTACCACTACTCCTTCTGGTGGAGTTTCACTAACCATAGGGATGACCGCCAAGTTGAGAATATTTCTAAGGCCATAGGCTATCACAGTCACACTGAAGAGTAGAAGGTACTGCACGTGTCTCTTGCCAAAAAATTGTTCTACAAAAGATAATAATTTTGAATTTTCAAATAGGTAATTGAAAGGCAAAGCTAGGTAAGTATATTCAACTCGTTCGTGGCATAAGGTCGTAATTTCATGAATGGATTGAGTAATTTATCTTGTAAAATAATTCAGATTGGTGCTGAAGAGGCAAAAAGAAAAGTGTTTTATTCCGAAACATCGAGGTCCGTCATTGAGGATGACAGTATTCTATGTAAGTAAAATATTACCCCTTTTATATACGATATTGTGTACCAATTCTGTGAGTACTGTTTAAATCAATTTCATAACGATATTTGGAGCACAAACTGAATTTTTTTTGTATAATTCAATGTTTATATAAAAGTAGTTGTTTCGAAAGGTATATTTATTTTGTGTAATTCAATGCTGATATGAAAGCAGTTGTTTTGAGGTGGCTTTTATCCCAGTTCGTATCTGAAAGTTACTTCTTTGCAGTATCTACACATCATTATAAATAATTTATTTTGAAATTAATTGTTTTTTTTTCCTTTTTGAAAGATTTCCACATTTTCTTGAAAAAAATTGAGAAGTAGACGGCTAAAACCTTTCTGTTTCAAAAATTACTCTGAAATACACCCCTTTCAATTAAATATTGATATAGATGCAAGAAAGGAATGAATTGCCACGTTACAGAAATCATCCTAGCGGGGTGAATGCATCAGGCTGTCATTCATGGCGTATTGAAAAATGTTTGTACTGAACGAATATTCAATGCAAATTTCTTTTCCCCTAAACTCAGTGACTTGGCAAGTGTCACCATACAATTCCGGGTCAGTTTTTCAATATCCTCTTGTGAAAATCAATATTTCAATGAAAAATATTTAATATTATATTTTATGAATTAGGTCTAAGATACTGAAGTGAGTCAAGTGGCTGGTGTTCTATGACTTATAATTTCATGTTAATAGTGAAATGAATATCGACAGGAATTGCAATGAATGTTACAAGTTCGAACTTTTATCATTCAAAAAGGTGTTAAAACTTTTGAAATCTATGAAAAAACAAATGAATTGACAAAGATCAAAATGTTATGTCCGCCGTGGTATTAACTGGGAAAGTAGTTGTTTTCCGCCAGATGTTTACCGGAGCCTACTGTTCTGATAGTTGGGAGAGACTGATATTTCGAAATTTAAATCAGAAATATTTATTTTCTTAGACTTATGTACTTCTACTCCATAGTTTTCATTTTCGATTTTCATCAGGTTCTATCTGATTTCTTGTTCAAATAACTTGTGGCAACTCAGTTCTTACAGTGATGAACAAATAGGTCATCTGAGAAAGATTAAAGAGCAAAGCAATTATAAATTTTATTTAGAAGTCAATATAATCATCAGGTTCAACGGAATCAGACGCAGATCATGAAATGTTCCGGGTATATTCCTTGTTGACGACGAAAACAACAAACAATCGTATGTCAATAGAATACATAATTAGTTGCGAATAAGAATAATGCAACAGCGTACAGAATAGTTTTCCATTACGTTATTGATGAGATCAATTTGTTAGTTTTTCTTAAAATCTATGAGGTAAGATACCATTTGACATTATTCATTTTTATACGATTTTAAATGATTTCACAATGTTCTCAAATTTTAAGGATTGATGATGAACTTCACTCATATGTAAGAATTCGTGTAGTCATAGTTTTTGTCATCAGATATATGAAAAGTTACAAGAAGTCCAGTCAATATCCTTCACCCGTATAATTTCACCAAACAGCGCCGATGTTTTTAAGAAAATGGATTCGAATTCTTCTCAACCTCTACTTCAAAGTTGACTATGGACCATGGGAATGAAAAATGTTTCTAGGGGGTGAAAAGTGTTATAAGCAATTTTGTTATTTAAAGATTTTTCTAGGAATCAATACTGTTAGACACATCCATGAATCAATTGTTCAACCCATGTTTTCAAATGGTTGTACTTGAGAAATTATTCTGGAATAAACCAATGAGTAAGAATTCACTCAGGAAGATAGCACCTGGAAGTGAAAAAAAGTTACACACAAAGAAGTTTACCCGAAGCAAGTACCAGCGTAACTCCTATAAAAAAAAGGAGCTGATTCTACAGATTTACTTAACAATATAACCCCATTTTATTCCTTCACAAACTGGAGAAGTAATACCAAGACGTGAATAAAAAGAACAAAGAGTTTGCATTTGAAATTTGGTGCAGGGTTCAATAGTTCTCTAAGTGACAGTAGCGGCCTGATGACTTCGACAATTGCGTAATTAGCCAAACGTTACACCCATACTCAATCCCTAAAGAGATGGAAAGGAATCAAATGATGCAATTTTGCCAAGATCACCCTGGGCGACCCTGAGAAGCTGGCGCAGAAGAAATATATGGCAAAGACTAGGAAAATATCTACGCTTGACAGTTGGATTTCTGACTGACCACTGTCACCTAAGGAAACACCTTCATAATATAAGGCTAGTGGACACACCTCTATGCAGGATGTGTCAACAGGAAGATGAAACTGTCAGGAATGTCCTATGCGAGTGTCCGGAGTTATCGTCAGTAAGAGACTGTGTGTTCGGCGAGTCTTGGCCAACATCTGCCGATATAAAGGAGATTTCTTCCAGTGACCTGTCCACCTTTCTGAAAAGGACAGGATGGACGATGACCTAGGAGGACAACTCCTAGGTCATCGGGGCCTACACTTACCCTCCCTACTCTACAGATACAGATACAGAAGTGGCAAATTGGGTCAGAGATGAAATATTTCTCCTCGGTTGAAAAAAATTGTTTCGAAGATTAATTTGTTACTGCCAATCTTATAGGAAATTCACATATGTAGACTTTGCTCAACTGTGTTGAACGAGTATATTCACTAATTGTATATCTGGTTGCACGAGTTCATGTGAACTCTTGGCTCTTTGATAATTTAAATTTCGAATGAATGTTTTCGTACAGTGAGAATACATCAATATTATTACAGGAAATATCATAAAACTTGATATATCTTTATCTTCCCCAGACCACAAGAAAGTCCTACGTCATTCATGTTGGTGTGTTGAAAATTTCGGTTTGGTAGACTATTGCTGTATATTATTGCTGTCTGGAATTTCCACCATATGAGTCAGTCTCAAGTCACTGAGGAGTTGAGTATAATTTCGTCTAAACAAACCACCTGCTTCCAGAATATAACTATTTTCAATGAACACTAGTTTTCCACTACATGTTTGGAAGTCAGAATTCCCAGTTTCTTCTCAACTGGTCACAGTGTTGATTCTCACAGTTCTTCATGAATACCAGGTTGAATGATTAACAAAAAAATCCTGAGTGTCAAGAAGAAACTGATTCATGAAAACTATATCTTTTTGGAATACATTTTGAGAGTACAATAATTTTCTTGGTCCAAATATTGACTGATGATGCTGACATCATTATAATACTTCAACCAACCAACCATTCTAGAGTATTACTGAAAAGCTGATACATTCCTTTCAATTCAAACAATCACGGTCATTCACACTTCTGGATTGTGAACTTTGTTCATTTACGTCAAAAAAATTCCTTAGATGTGGTGAAACACCAATTATTTATTCTGGTTAAACCTCTATTGTATCATTCATTCTATATTTGGAATTGTCTGACATGATTTCGTTTCAAATCTAATGAATGCTGATATTTACTGAATGATATGATTCTATTCCTTTTATGGAATAACTTGAGTGCTCAGTTTCATGATTTGTATCTTCTAAAATATCATCTGAGAAAAATTCAAAATATCTAAGGAAAAAAGCCTCTGAGAAGATCGATTCATCAATAGTTATATACTGAATTAGCATCCATTTTTCAGGATAGGTGATTTCTTGACAACAATATACCAGGTGTTTGTGAGACGGGAAATTTGAAATTCTGAATAAAAATTTAGGTTATTGGAGGAAGTATTTTCAATGACGATGACTAAAAATTTTGTTCAGCTCAACCGCAAATGGACTCAAGTAATAAATTTTTAACGGAACCCTTTCAATTCTTCAAACCGTTTGACAGAATATAGAATTTTCTTCCCAATGATAAGATCCAAGTGAACATTTCTTTCCAAAATATTGGTTTGGGAGTAAAAAAATTTATGGTAAGGTTAAAAAATTACCACTCCCTATTAAAATTTTCGGAAGGTAATTCTTGGGATACTACATGAAGTTAAAGTTACTGAAATGAATATCATTACACAAAAACGCAAATGAGATAATTTATGAATGATTATTTTATAGTAGATTTTGTGAAAAGCCCAAGAGGAGTTTTATTCAGCAAACTTGTGGTGCAAGTATACCACTTGTGCCAAGAAGGTTCGCTGAGTTTTAAATAATTCACATTGGTCATAACTAATGACCATACAGCAATGAGGCATTGACTGTTGAAATTTCAATAATCATATACGGTGGTGGAAGAAACCTAAATCGTTGTGTTATATTGCGCGATATAATAATGATGATGATAATGGTCTTCACTAAAACCTTATTGGTAGTCTATAATGCTCCGAAATCTGTGAAAAGTCTCGATCATCTTCGTTATTTGCATTACGTCAAGTCTGCAAAACTAAATGAACCTGTGCAGCTTTCAAATATTCCACCAACAAGTGCAGCTGCTCATCAACATTCCAAACGTGTAAATTATCAAGTTCAAACTTTGTTAGGGCATGATTTGGAACCCCAGGTATGGGGTTGGGCAATGCGAAACGATTTTTTGGAGCCTATCATGACAATTTTACCACCTGCTCCAGAAGATTTGCTAAATACAATTTTCTGCAACTGCAAGAGTGGTTGTGGTTCGCGATGCGGATGCAGGAAAGCGGGCTTTTAATGCTCTTTAGCTTTTATTTATAATCATTGATTTATCGATAGTTCATCAACTATATATGGCGCGTTTTCGACCGGAGGCACCGGTTGACCTGAAGTGATCCTGTGATCGCGCTCTCTCCGCCCTTTATTTCGAAAACGGTTCACCGTATGAAAAATTTTTTTGAACAAAATTTGTAGAGAATTTTGTATTCTACAATATTGATAATGAATACAAATGGCAAAAAACCAATAGGAAATGAGATATTTACAAAAAAAGCGCAAGAAACCGATTTTTGTGCCCTTTGACCTTGAAATTTAATAGTTGCGTACACCCTACCATATGTAGGTTTTCAGACAACTTTTAGGGTGTCAATATACAAGTATTTACAGACTTACAGCTGGGTATCTCGAATTCCGAGGTGAACTTACTATACATTTTATTTTGGAAGTCAATTCTATAGAATGTCTATCAATATGCAAATGCTAATGCAGAATGCAGAAAAATTAATATTAATTGAATTCTTTGGTAAAAAAAGATTTGTCAATCATATAAATCTTTTAGTCAATAATATGACAATTCTCCCAAGTGAAACAACCAAACTTTTGGGTGTTCACGTTGACACTGATTTATTTTGGAAATTTCATTTGAACCATGTGGTTGCAAAACTTAATAGCAACTTTTATGCACTATTGCAACTACGTCAAGTTTTGAATGTGAAATCTTTAAAAAACATGTATCATTCTATGGTTCAATCTACAGTCTCATACAATGTCATCTTGTGGGGAGATTACAGATCAGAAAAGAATTCTTCGCCTAATTTTTAATCTAGATAGGATCGAAACATGTAGGCCCTCATTTAAACAAAGTGAAATTTTGACTACCCCAACAATTTATATCTATGGTTGTTTGGTCTATACGTGGAAAACTATGAATGACTAAGAGTCCAATTCTCAGTGCCATCAATATCCCACAAGATCAGGAAATTCAATTAAAATTGAACAACATAGGACTTCAACCTATGAAAAGTCTTCCTTTTTGGCCGGAACAAGACTCTTCAATTGTCTACCTACTACTCTAAAAAATTCTTCCGATATCAAAAAGTTCAAAATGAACCTCAAAGAGTTTTTAATTGATCGGACTATTTATTCAGAGGAAAAATTCAACAAAAGTGAATGTGTGTATTATTTATACACTGTGTCCGTAAAGTATGGAACAAATTCATTTTTAGCTAAACATGTCATTTTAAGAAATTATCCTGAAACACGTCGATTTTTGATGTTAATTTACCGTATTTTAAAATAATAATCTTATATACAGGGTGAATTACGTTCGAGTAATGACGTCACCGTCATTTTTTTTTAATGGAACACCCCCATTTTGTCTCAATTTTCGGATTACTCTAGCTGAGCTGATTCCAAAAATGTATCACATGTTGATTCCAATTGGTACAGGGTGGATAAAAATTCAGTATTTTTGTTTGTGCTAATAAAGTAACGCGTAACATTCTTTATTAGGTAAATTAACAATAATATCAAAAATACTTATTGTCTAGCGGCAATTGGTTTGAATGTAACACCCCGTAGTTTGCTACATGTTTAGAGTAATAAAAATGAGCTGTTTCCAAACATGTTTGGTACTTGTGGTCTAGCAGACAGAATATGAAAGAAATTATTTCTTATCTACATTTATAAAAAAACATAGTCGTCAAGTTTTTTTGTGAAATATCATTATTTGTTTAGTAATTTATTGATGTTCAGTGACAGTTTAGTACTACAATATTTTTGGTATTCGTGAATATTCGAATGATTGCTTAGATTTAATTGGACGTAGAAATGGAGTTAAGTGTAAAACAAAGAATTGAAATACTTATGATGATTGGGTATGGAGACAGATCGCGAACTCAGATGGAAGTTTGCAATTTGTTTAATGATAAATATCCAGAAAGACCTATAACGCGTTCAACAGTCAGTAAGCAGCATTAGATGTTTTACTGAGTTTTGAAGAAGATGCCCACACTTCTGTTCGTAAAGTTCGTCGCGAAATCGGTGTTGGCAAAACAACGGTACACAAACTATTGAAGCTTGAAAAATGGCATCCTTATAAAATCAAACTTGTGCAAGAATTAAACGAAGATGATCCCGATAGACGACTCCAATTTTGCGAAGAAATGATGGATAAATGTCACCGAGACCCTCTCTTGATACAAAACATTATTTTTTCTGATGAGTCCACTTTCACGTTGAATGGTGAGGTTAACCGTCAGAATTGTAGATACTGGCCAAAAGAAAACTCCCACTGGATGCGTGAGCATCATATACAATACCCTCAAAAGGTAAATGTATGGGCTGGAATTGTACGAAATCGAATCATTGGACCCCACTTTATCGAAGGTAATTTAAACGGGGCAAAGTACCTTGAGTTTTTAAGGGGGTATCTCGTACCTACTTTACGTAATTTATTTCCCAGCAGACGTAATCCTGGAGGTTTTGATGAAAGTTTATGGTTTCAACAGGATGGTGCACCTCCACATTATGCTGTAGATGTTAGAAGGTACGTAGATGAAATTTTTCCGAATAGGTGGATTGGTAGACGTGGACCCACTGAATGGCCAGCGAGGTCACCAGATTTGAATCCTTTGGATTATTTTCTGTGGGGCCATCTGAAGAATGTTATTCATAAAACGAAACCAGCAAATATTGAAGATGTACAATGAAAATTCGAACAGAAATAAACAATATTACGCAAGAAACCATACACAAGGTTCAACAAGAATTTGAACACCGTTTGGGTTACTGTCAAATACAGCAAGGGCTGCAGTTCCAACATTTAATATAAAGTCATGTATTCCAGCATATTCTGTCCGCTAGACAATAAGTATTTTTGATAATATTGTTAATTTACCTAATAAAAAATGTTACGCGTTACTTTATTAGCACACACACAACTACTGTATTTTTGTCCACCCTGTACCAAATGGAATCAACATGTGATACATTTTTGGAATCAGCTCAGCTAGAGTAATCCGAAAATTGAGACAAAATGGGGGTGTTCCATTTGAAAAAAATTACGGTGAACGTAATTCACCCTGTATATTAGATTATTATTTTGAAATACGGTAAATTAACATCAAAAATCGACGTGGTTCAGGATTATTTCTTAAAATGACCTGTTTATCTAAAAATGAATTTGTTCCATACTTTACGGACACAGTAAATGCAATATTGTTTTCGTATTTCACTTGATGCAACTCCGTTATATTTTAATCTGCATATTGTTGTTATAAATGTACTTGTATTTGACGTTTCCTACACCATAATTGTATGATCTAAAAGGAATAAGAAAGTATTATTATCATTATCTACGGGTCTCCCACAATCTTTGACTTTTCAAAAAATGATTGAAATAGATTCACTTGAATTCAGTTTCAGACAAAATGATTTGCTTTAGGACAGTGGTACAAATCAGTGTCATTGGAGAATTGAACCTTGACTGACTATTTTTTATCACAACACATTGTTTTCTGTCACTCAAAAATGAGTAAATGAAGTCACATGCCTCTATACTGAAAATTTAGGGCACATCAGACTAATAAACTGTGAATATTATTCTTCTGGTCCATCTGGTTCCATTTAATTCCATTATTTCAGTTACAGGAATTGCTTGGTTCATGATTTTTCAAGAGATTGAATTGTATTTATATGAAATGTGTGTCTCAGTTCTCATGTCTTTTCTTGAATAGTTACTGAAAGATGAAATATATTGGCATAATAATTATTTTTCAATAAGATAGTCAGGTGTTCAAGAACTATTTTTGTGGAACTTCACGAGTCACATCATGAAAAATTCCATTAGAATGATTCACTCTGTACAATGCGTGAGGTTACATGAGAGGTTTTCATCACCTTATAGTCGCCTAGAGAAGTTGAGAACTGAATCACACAATATCTCACATTTATCAGTCAGGAAATATCACACTAATCATTCGTGCTTATTACGTTGAATACTTTTCATCTGAGTAACAAGTTTTATAGTGTTTGAACTAACTTTTCTAACCTAAAAATCTCAAAAATATCTAATTGCCTGTTTGGCAGGCATTGATTTGCTATTGTAGACTGATCTGAATGCTTGAAGTATGTTGGAAGATTTAAACATTTCAAACTTAATGAAACTAGATAAAGTCTTGAAAATAACATTGGTGGAAAACTACTCACTTGGAGGTTGCACTTTTTCTCTGTCGTCAAAACTGTCCATTTCAAGTTTCATCCTGGAGTTCTTCTGATGTTTCAAATAATTTAGTTAGATGTCTTCTGTTCGGAATGTCTCGGGTTGTTTACTTCATAATGCTGGTTCTTGCGTGCGTGAAACGGAACAACTGAGATTAAGATTGTAAATCAACAACTTCATTGATAAACTTTGAGTAGAAATATATATATATAGTGATATCAGTTTTTTGTAGGGGCGGACTCGATTTAATCTTGACTGATACGATAACGTAATACGGTAGAACTTAAAGTGCTTTATGTAACTTGTGTTGTATCAATGATTTAAATCTTGGAAAACTCACATGTCTATCTGATCTTTGACGCAAATGATTCATCTTAACAGTATTATGAAATTTTGAGCAATACGATATATAGGGTCCAATAAAGACTTTCGAACTTTGATAATTGATAACTGATTTTTGCAAATCACCATGGACGTATGTGCATGTATCACGTGTTATTGAATGTAGTGAGAAGACTGGTCATTAGGGGATGTCCACAGGGAGGAGTCTTATCACCCCTTCTCTGGAACATAGTTCTGGATACCCTGATTAATCACCTCAACAATAATGGATTCTACAAAATTACATATGCAGATGACATAGTTATTTTGCATACCGGCAAATTTATGAACACACTGTGCATAGAGCACAGGATGGGCTCAAATTAATAGAAACATGGTATAAGAAACACTCACTGTCGATCAATCCCAAGAAGACTGAGATGGTCCTTTTCACCAGGAAAAGAAGTTTGCCGGGCTTAAAACCTCCAAAAATCATTAAAAGCAAACTAAACTTCTTTGGAGAGGTGAAATACCTTGATATTATCCTCGACAGGAAGCTAACATGGAACTGTCACCTACAGACTAGAGCAAAATGAGCATTTGTGACTTATGCGCAATGTCGGAGGACAGTGGGACGCGCATAGGGTTTTCCACCTCGTATGGTCTCCTGGATCTACACTGCAATAATAAAACCTATGTTAACGTACGGAGTCATTGTATGGGGACCGAAAGTTCTACAAGCAACGGCCGTCCAAAAATTATATGAAACACAGCGACTGACTTGTTCAAACATCACAGAAGTCACGAGAACAACTCCAACCGCGGCAATGGAATTAATTACGGGTCTGACCCTTCTGGACCTATACGTTAAGGAGGTTGCGTTAATGACCGTGTTACGATTGCGCACGGCTGGTGTAAACCTCGAAGTAGGAATAGGTCAATTGAGGCTGGGCCTATGACGAGGAGCGCTTACTGCGCAACCTCTGCTGCAGGCAACCAGTAATGCAATTGAACCCAGGTTTGTGTTTAATAAACCCAACAAAATACAAATAGAACAAAACACAGAGTTAGATGCTACAAATGCAATACGCATATATACAGACGACTCAAAAACCAAAGAAGGCTCAGAATGTGGAGTGTACTCCAGATCACTAAGCCAGGAAATAACCAAAAAAGGCGTTTCTGGAAAAAAGATAACAACCTGCACTGACAGCAGACAAACACTATTAGCCTTGAACAGACCACGTGTAACCTCAGGGCTAGTACTAGAGTGTCACCGAGATTCAGCCAAAGCCTCGATAGATAATAACATTATACTGAGGTGGGTTAAAGAGCACGACAGGTGTAAAAGTAATCGCATTGCCGACTTTTCAGCCAAGGAAGCGACTGGACTAAGAATTTCGGGACCTAGTGGCACCTACGGCCTGATGAATTCGACAATTGCGGAACTAGCCAAATGCTACACCTATGCTCAATCCCTAAAGAGATGGGATGGAATCAAAGGATGCAATCTTGCCAGGATCACCTTGGGTAACCCTGGGAAGCTAGCGCCAAAGGAATATCTGGATATAACCAGGGGAATGAATCTACGCTTAACAGTGAATTTCTGACTAGCCACTGTCAACTAAGGAAACACCTCCATAATATGGGACTAGAGAACACACCTCTATGCAGGATGTGTAAACAGGAAGATGAGACTGTCAGGCATGTCCTATGCGAGTGTCCGGGATTATCCTCAATAAGAGAGTGTGTTCGGCGAATCTTGGCCTACACCTGCCGATATGAAGGAGACGTCTCTCAGTGACCTGTCCACCTTCCTGGAAAAGACAGGATGGACGATGACCTAGGAGGATGTACAATGGCTCACATGTGGCCTAAATGCTACTCTATAGATACAGATAGAGAACAAATGATAAAATGATTTTATCGAAATGAGTGTTCTGTTCAGGCAACTTTCCGTGCGCTTCGCTCATTTTTCGGTCGCAATAATTGTCCTACCGTGAATATAAAATTCAAGGGAACCAGGACCTGAAAGTGAATGACCATAGACAACAACGTGTGTTCGCTCTATGGGCTCTGGAGCAGTTGGCAACTGACCCTAATTTTCATCGAAAAATCATCTGCAGCGATGAGGCCCATTTCTGGATGAATGGGTACGTGAACAAACAAAATTGTCGAATTTAGGACGATACCAATCAACATGCGATTCAAGAGCTTCCAATGCATCAAAAAAAGTCACTGTTTGGTTTGGATTTTGGGCTGGCGATGTAATCAGTCCATATTTCTTCGGAAATGACGTTGGCCAGGCCATCACTGTCAACGGCGAGCACTATAGGTCAATGATTACTAATTTATTTTGGCCTGAATTGGATGAACTGGACACCAATGACATGTGGTTTCAACAGGACGGCGCTGAGTGCCACACAGCTCATGCCACATGCCACAGCTCTGCACGAGTGATTTGAGGGCATGGTCATCTCACGTGGAGGTGATGTAAACTGGCCACCGAGATCGTGCAATTTGACCCCGTTGAATTTTTTCTTGTGGAGAAAGAGAAGCCGTGACGGACAATAGATCTTTTGAACGAATTTGATGATATCTCACACACATTGTGTTTTATTTGAATTTGAAGATAAGAAGCGTTTAATGACTCTACATTAAAATGTGAGAATAAGCGAAACATAAGTGGAACCACCTATTGGCGTGACACCCAAGTCAACTTGCCAAGTTTTTATGTCAGTGTTGGTGGTTTGACCAATCAACCGACATACATACAACAGCGATACTCTGCTGCTGCTGGACGAAGGACTATGTACATATGGTAAAATTTAATATAATTTTTAGTAACTACAAATCTCTTCTTTACATCATTCTTTGTTTGCTTGAGCTTCACAATTAATAACGTTCCCGAATCTTCAATATCATCTAATGTTACCTGGCTGATTTCACAAATTCGACAATCCCAAATACAACCTTGGCCATTAAATAAACTTCATAGGGAGTATTATTTGAAAAGTCACTAATATGTGTACTCGTAAATATCGCTGCTTTTTTGTTTCAGTAACCTTTCCCATTTTGTTTCAGAAATGTAATTAGTTTGAAATATTTTGAAATGTCTACATCATTATTGGATTGTAACATACTTTTAATCATGGAATAATTCGACCATACTGTTGATGGCTTTTGTTGTTGTGCCAGTTCCGAAAAATGAGCCAATAACACCGTCTCCGAGAAAGAACTGCATGTGAATTTTCCGCGATTTAGCTGGCAATAATTTTTGTGACGCTTTTGTGACATTTTTCAAAATAACTACTGACCATTGAGTTCGCAATTTTTGAATAAAATCACAGAATTAATTCGATAGGTATTTGATTTTCTTTTGACTGGTTTCCTAAAAATTCAAATTTCACATCGATAATTTTCTGACTTCAACATATTGTAATAATATGTTTTTTTCAATAATAAATCGTCGTTTTTTCCGTCACAGAAAAAAATTGTGTATTATACACAGGAAAAATATTAGATTTTAGCTCTCGGTTTTTTGTCTCCCGAAGCGAAGCGGAGACACAACCTCAAGCTAAAATCTAATACTTTTTTCCTTTGTATAATAAATAACTATTGCTCAAATCCTACTATACCCTACGGAGTTTTACGATGGTGCTCACTTTCTTGTATTGTGATAAAATTTTGCCTTTGTCAACTTATTTTATGTACTATTCGCAAATTTAATTATACATATATTTATTTTAGATTATAATAAGCTATGTAAATATATTTTCTTACGATGATGCTCACTTTTTGTGTTGTGAACATTTTCGTATTTGTCGACTTCTGGTATATAAAATACTATTTGTCGAATTTAATTATGTACTGACTTTAGATTATAGAAAGCTTTGTCAATAAGAATATCTTTTCAAACTGGGTCGTAGAGACACCGATGATGCAGAACTCAGTGGACGTTCAAATAAGGCAGTAACACCAAAAAAAAATCTATAAAATTGTTTCAAATGATCAAAAAGTGGAGTTGCCTGAGTTAGCTGATATTGTGAAGATATCAAAAGAACGTGTTGACTTTATATTGCATGCGCATTTGACTATAACAAAATAAAACCAACCAAAAGCACGAAAAAAAAACGTGTTGATGATTCTGAGCAGTATTTGGCCATGTTGAAACAGAACAAACAGTACTTTTTGCATTGATATGTGACAATGGATCCATCACTTCAGTCTGGAATCAAAACGATCGTCATCTGAGTGAAAAGAAACTTCGTTACCTTGTCCAAAGCGTCCTAAAGCACAAAAATAGGCTGCTTGATCAAGACAAGGCACAGTGTCACAAATCAATGGAACGATGTCAAAATGACATGAAATGGGCTTTGAATTGCTCCCGCATGTACCATATTCGTCAGATTTGGCTCCCTGTGACTACTGCCTGTTCTACAGGCAGTACTACAAAACTTTCTACAAAACTTTTATTGAAATGTTAGAGCGACGCTAGAATGATTTTGTGGCTGATGAATAAAGCCAATTTTGAATAAAAAAAACATTTATTTTCTTAGGCCCTTGACTTTTCAGTCCAGGTGTTACTGGACTGAAGAATTGAATGCGAATTTTAATCTCCTGTTCTGTCAAAATCACCAAATTGTTATTTGATTCCACAGAAACACGGAATTTCAAAACTATATCAAATTTCAAGTCTGATTTTATCAGCAGGCTAGGTATGAACTTTATACATATATGCTTCTTTGATAAATCTAATTGGCTTACCGAATTTCAAAAAGAGGCCTCTAGTCAACTGTTTCTG